TAAGAGACACAAATTGGAAAATCATCTTTTGATGGTAACATGTATTATAATATCTTTAATTGGATTAATATACAGTGTAGTCATGCTTGGAAAAAAAGTATATGCCATCACTTTTCTAAGAAAATAAGTAATAATCATAACAAATAAAATAAAAAGTTATCTGTTGATGGTAATATATATGGTAATATCTTTGACTTGACTAATATGTACAGTATTCATTCTGGGGAAAAAACATGTACATTGTAAAGATGTACAGTAATTAAATGTAAATATGTATATATATATATATAGAGAGAGAGAGAGAGAGAGAGAGTGAGATTTAACTTTCATAGCTTGGTAGCACCTGAAAAATATATTATTAGCAAAATATTTGAGATGTTATTATATAAATCATTATGATTTTATAATAATTAAAAATACTTCCAATTGCAAAAGCAAAAATAAAAAGAGAAGAAAGAGTGGTAAGTGTCAGTAAGGCTGTCGTGAAAAGGGAACTCTCCTATGCTTTTGGTGGAAATGTAAATTAGTATAGCCTCTGCAGAGAACAACATGGAGGTTCCTCAAAAACCTACTAGTAGATCTATCATAGGATTCAGCTCTTTCACTTCTGGCTATCTATCCAAAAGGACAGGAATATACTCAGTGGGAAAAGCACTTCCAAATCTGTTTTTTTTTTTTTGTGGCATTATTCACAATTCATAAAATGGAATCAACCCAAAAGTCCAAGAACAGATAAGTGAATTTTTAAAAATGTGGCACATGTACTCTATATACTACTACTCAGACATAAAAAAACAGTGAGACCCTGACATTTGTTTGTGTGTGTGTGGAATATGAAAGATTTAATGCTAAGCAAAGCAAGACAGACTGAATGAGTGACACTGTATGTCCCTACTTAATATATACTGAATGTCTGCACTCTACAGCAGAAACTAAAATATTGGAAGGTATAAAAGTGCGAAGAGCAAGTGTGGATACTAGAGACAGTAGGGAAGAGGGTGGGCAATGGAGGGGGAGGGAGGGAATCAAGGGCGAAAAAAAGGCAAAGCATTTAACAGATACAAAAATGGAAAATATCTGTTGATAATAATGTGTTAAGTTAAATCTTTGACTGGACTGATATGCAGTGTATTCATGATGGGAAAATGCTTTTTTTATGCTGTAAAGGTGTATAGTAATTAAATATAAAAAAGAAATACATATATTTTAAGAAGTGATATACTATTAATCAGTAAAAAAGAATGAAGTCATGATACACCATGAACAAATCTCAAAAGCATTTTGTTAAGTAAAAGAAGTTAGACACAAAACACCGCATTTGTATGATTCAATTTCTTTGAAATATCCATTGAATATATCTACAAATATAGAATGTAGGTTAATGGTTTCCTAAGGTGGAAGATGAGAATGAGATGAACTGAAATTGTGGCGGAGATTACTTTTGTAGGTGAAGAAAATGTTTTAAAATTAGTTATGACTGTTGCACACCTCTGTAGATTTACTAAAATCCCTGAATTGTATACTTCAATAAATAAGTAAAGCTGTCTTTTGTTTGTTTGTTTTTATCATAGGACGTGTGTACTTGTAGAAGAAGAGAGAGAGAGATACAGAGAGAAGTAAAGTGAGAAGTCACTCCCCAGGGGGATGACCACACCACAATTCCTTCTCCCCCCTTCTCCTCTGGGGACTTTGGGCATGCACACATGACCAGCTTGATTTTCAGAGTGCCAGGTCCAGGACTCAAACTGTGATAGGACATATGGGAGTCCAGTACCTTAACCACTGCACCATCTGCTGCTCCAATAAAGCTATCTTAAGATTTTCAATTCTTTTCAGCTGTTTGGTCATTAAAACTCTCTCAAATCATTAAATGTATTACATAATGCCTCATGTTCCCAGTCATTAGATGGGAGACTTTCCCTCATGCCCTGCTTAGCACATCAGACAGAATGTTTCCTGGTCTGCTTTCTTCTCCATCCACTCCTTGATTTACTATTCTCAATGCTGATGTATCATTTAGAAGCCATGATATTCCTTGTCTCTACTGACAATGGACAAATAACAAGTTTTTCTTTATTTTCCCAATTCTGAATTCCTAGTTCAGCAAAACAAATAAACTTTGGAATTACTTATGTCTTTCAACATAAGTATATGCAAGAAAACAGATGAGCAAATTTGACAATACCATATTTATACATTTAGCCAAGTAAGTTTAGCACTTTGCTAAACTGTTTTGTTCTTTTGACATCTGCCTAAATGTTATTAGCCTCCTCCAAATTCTTTTTAAGAGAGATTTTTGTTATAGGATACATGTGCTCACTGGACAAACAGGGAGAGAAAGAGAGACAGAAGAGTAAGAAATCAGCCCCCCCAGGGGGGAGGGTCACTCCATAATCCCTTCTCCACATTCTCCTCTCAGGATTTTGGGACTGCACGCACACGCACCCAGTGGGAGTCTTAAGCTGCCCGGTCTTGGACTCGAATTGTTGTTGACTACACTGGAGCCCAGCGACATAACCATTGCACCATCTGCTGTTTTTGGGTCTCTTCCATTTTGACCGAATTTCTACCTTCCCCCATGTCTCTCCCATACCCTATTGCCACCGTTTCTTCACTTTTACCATGGTTTTAGTACTTTATTTGCACTGTTGCAAAGTCTATCCCTTACTCATTTCCCTTTCTCTCCTTCAAATATAAATTTGTACTCTAATTTTGAGTGGTGGAAAGGAGAAACTACTATTCAAGCAGTAATCGGGGAAATACTTTTCCCTTTAGACATTGACTTAGTGGGCATTTATGAATAATACGTTTGGAAAAGTTTTTTGTCTTTTTTTTAACTCCTTGAGAGAGAAGAAGCTAGTGCAAAATATTGAATTTGATCTCAAGTTTATGGTATTTCACCTCTATAATTGATATATGATACATTTATTAACACCTAAGTAAAGCAAATCTTGCCAGAGGGCCATAAGAAAATATTTTAAGTTCCATCTTTTATTATCATTTCTGGCCAGTTAATAAAGTTCTCTACAATAAAGCTAGATTTTGTTGCTTATTGTAACAACTTATTTTTAAAGTTTCTAAATAATCAAGATTTTGAATACAATGGGAAAATTTTCACTGTAATAATACAAACTCCATATAATTGTTTGACCTATTCTTTTTATAGAACTAATCTCTTCCTCAAACATCCTACTTTGCTCACAGTACTAATGTAATGCTTATCTTAAATTAAAGCGTGGCTATGTCTATTTCCCCAGTCTCACAATCTGATTGGGATATAGCTGCAGTATAACAGAAAGAACAGTGCAGATGGTATAGAATACCTGGATTACTGGTAATCAGCAGCTGTGTGACTTTACTGTCTGACTGACAGATTTTTTTTTCAGACTGCTGTAAAATGCAAATCAGTTTGGCACATAATTTGGAAATTGCAAATATGTGAGTGCTACAACATCTTGTTATGAATAGATAGAATATTTGAGATGGAAAATTTTGGACAAAAGGCAATCCTAGACCTGAATAAATTACTTATATTTCTTTAGACTCACTTTTGTCATCTATAAAATATAATGGTGCTTACCTCACAGGATTGTTTAAAGGTTAACTGAGAAAGGAGAAGCCCTAAAAAAGTTGATGGAAAATGCTATGCATAGATTTCAATTTTTTGGCACCAAAATAAACTTGTACTTTAATTCCATATTTCTGCAAACTTTTAGAAGTCCTCTCCTATTGTAGGTGAAAGAGTCTAGCTCAGCATCTGGAAAATGAATAATGTTAATTAGTGTTTCCTTAGGTTAGTAGGAGACCTAACTTAGTTCCCCCTCCATTTCCCTCCCCCTCTGCAAAAACTTAAACATAAGTATTCTGATTTATCCTTTTTTTTAGAGAGAGAGAGAGAGATTTTTGCTATAGGGTGCATGTGCTCGCCAGGGAGACAGAAAGCAAGAAATCATCCTCCCAGGGGTATGGTGACACCACAATCCCTTTCCTCCATTCTCCTCTCATGGTTTCAGCCACACAGGGATACATTCCAAGCGCAAGTTCAAGCTGGGGGATCCAGTACTCGAACCACAGTCAAGCATGTGGGAGTCCAGGACCTTAACCACTGTGCCACCTGCTGGCAAGATTAATCTGTGAAGAAACAGGCCAGGGGCTGGCAGGTGGCATGGCAGTTAAGGGCGCTGGACTCCCAGATGGCCCACCACAGTACGAGTTCCAGACCAAGTAAATAAATATTAAATAAAAATAATTCTTGAAGAAAAAGAATGAAACAGGCCAACGAGCATCACTCTACAAAGCCTTCCCAAACGGTATCAAGCAGTATAATCCTTTAGCTAAGAGTACTGGAGTTTTGGAATCAGAAGAGACCTCCCAATTTAAAACCAGGTCTGCCATTTAGTAGCTCTGTGACCTTGGATAAATTGCTTATTCTCTCTGCATCTAGATTTGCCATCTATAAAATGGGATCATCATAATACACACCTCGTAGAGTTGTGGAAAATGAAATGAAATATGCATATCAAGCACTTAGCACAGCCTCTGATACTTTGTCCTTCCTAAGTATTACATAGTAGGAGTAGGAGTAGTAACTGGGTATTTCCTCTTCAGTAAACTGTGAATAAAAATTCTTACTCTGCTTCTCAGGGTTGTAGCAAAATTCTGACGCATCTTTTAAACTTATACTGAAGTTTCAATGTAAGGGATTGGTGTACACCTTGAGATATTGTGGGCAAAACTCTAACCTCACTTTTATAGAATATGCTTTCCCTCACCTGCATACACTGGGGGTAATAATACCCAGCATCAACTAATAGGAAATAAAATCTGAAGATACGTCCCCTGGATACCAGCAGCAGACTACTAAAGATCGGTATTAACATTAGCAACCGCACACGGTATCTCATTTCCCAGCAGTTCACCTCTAACAGCCCCCTCCCCTTGGAGCTGCGCAAGCGTACACTGAACTTGCTCCTCTCCTTCAATGCCCCCGCCTCCAACACCGCCCGAATACGCAGGCGCGTCTCCTCGAATCCTGTCCTTAGCCCCCTCTTTTTTCTCTTCATTTCGTTCCCCCTCCTCTTCCAGCACCTCCGCAGGTTCAAACTCTTCTACGTGAGAGTGGCGGCGATCGCGAGGTCACGTGATGAGCATCCTGCTGCCCAACATGGCGGAGTTCGACACCATCTCGGAACTGGAGGAGGAGGAGGAAGAAGAAGCAGCAACGTCGTCGTCGTCGCCGTCGTCGTCGTCGTCGGTATCTGGACCCGATGATGACGAGGAAGATGAGGAGGAGGAGGATGAGGAGGAAGAAGAAGACGGGGAAGAGGAGGAGGAAGAAGAGGAGGAGGAAGAGCCGCCTACACCTCGGGTAGTGAGCGAAGAGCATCTGCGGAGATATGCCCCTGACCCTGTATTGGTGCGAGGCGCCGGCCACATCACTGTGTAAGTGAGAGGGGCCCATGGGGTTTGAAAAAGTTGAAATTTGGCAACGTAGGAATGAGACGGTGATCGAGGGGCCTGTGGAATGGGGGAGGGCTGACTGAGACATAAGGTTAGGAAAGGGCACCTGGCCTAAATGAAGAAATTCAAGACGAATAGGTGTAAAGGAAGTGAGAATTACAGTGTGATGCACTAAAGCCAGGTAAAGAGTATAACACAAGGAAGTTAGGGGCTTGGGAGCCAGAGGAATTGGAGTAGGGGTGAATCTCCTTGTCTATGTGATGGCAAGTCTATAAACTGCAGGATGTACCAGAGGGTTTTTTGCTGCCAAGATTGATGTCTAGTGGAAAACAACGACTGCTGTGACATGTGACAAGGACTAGGTTTGCGTGCTTCAAAACAGGGACATGATATATTTTGTGAATAACATTATATAGGATATTCATCCACCCACATGTTCATTCTTCCAGTCTTCCTATCTAATCCTTACATGAATGAATACAATTATCCTTTACCTGTTTTGAGCATTACTCACTCTTACATTCATTAAATATCACACAGTTAGAGGTTCAGGTCGAGAAGCAGATTTGGAAAGTAGAAAGAGCAATAGATTGAGAGAGCTTTTGGATGCAAGCCACAGTTTTGTTTCTTACTGGCCCTGTGACCTTGGTTAGGTTGCTTCCCATTTCTGGGCCTTGATTTCTTCATCTGCACAAAAGAAGGGTTTGGAGTAAGTGATTTCTAAAGTCTTTCAGCTCTGAGATAATTTAAGATATCTCAAGGGAATTTTGTATGCCCAAATATTAAATATAAAGCATTAAATATATATGAAAATCAGTCCTCCAGGAACTGAGGATGATTTCTTGAAAATATATTCAGGATTTTTAATGTATTCAGGGATTTTTAAAAAGGTGAATTATGGGATCATGTTTGAGAAAATAAAATGGGGGAGGGATTTCATAAAAGTATTTGAAAAGAAATTGATGGTTCTCTAGACTTTGAAGAATGCTTAAATACTCAGTAGTTTGAATATTGTGTCACATTCATCCTCTTAACTTTGCTATCTTTTACTGCATTTTCAGATAGGCCTGCTTTTTTTCTATCATGTCATGCTGCCTCTAAGTTTGATATTGGTTCACCTTGCACCTTTGACTTTCCAATTGAACTCATACTGTAAAGGCTCATATATAATATGCACAACCTTACCCATCATGTTACTTTTTAAAATTTTTAACATGTTGAATATTTTGATTGTAATATACTTTTGTAATCTTTGCATGAAATGCATATGAAGATTTTGAAACAATGGAAGGGTTTAGAGAGGGATTGTAGATCTGCTTTTGGATTAGGCAATTTTAAGACAGTTTTCTTGGTCCAGAATTTTTGCAAAAAACCTACAACGTTCAGTTGCCGAGCTTACTACACTGTTTTACTTCTATGTTTTTCATCACTAAAGAGACAATTTATGAACCAAACTAATTGTGATTCTGGCGCCAAAGGTTACTTACATGCAGATTATTTCACATGACGGCACAGAGAAAAGGTACCCTATTCCAGTCCATAATTTTATACTCAAACACTCCATGCACCCTCCACCATTTTTTTTCCTAAAATTCTGAGAATGGAGAAAGAGCTAGGAAACAAAATTTAAGTTCATTCTTCCAGTCTAAAACTTATTTGTGATTCCATTCTACTCTTCATAGAATTATGATAAAGTACTTACGAACCTTTTTCTTCATTAGAAACAGAGCATTGACATTTGCCATGTTCAGATGTTTGTGATAGGTGTGGAGTTCTTCCCAGCTTAAGAATTCTGTATTTGACATAGTGGTGCTGGTAGTAATTATTAGTACTAATTGACTGAAGTCAAAACATGAAAAGCAGCAAACCAGTACTTGATTCACTAACTGATGGATATAATTTGGAAACTTAGTATTACTGTACACTAGAAAAGCACGTTAGATATGTCTGGGATTTTAAAAAATGTTAAATTTTTAGGAGAAAGTTTTATAGGATTGAAGAAACCTGCCTTTCTATGGTGGTAAAGCCTTATACCAGGTAAAGTAAAATCTTTAGGAAATAGTTAATCCGAGACATCCAAATACCAGCTTCTGTTTGCTTTTGTTTTCTGGAGTAGTAGTGTTAGAGTTGCCCTGAACTATATACTGTATGCCCTATCTGAGTGAAACATTTAATTTTCCCTCCCAGCCCTGATTTTTTTTTTTTTTGTAATATCTGTATATTCTTCTACATAGGACTTTATTTTTTTTCAAAGTTT